CCTATATTATTTGATTTTTTTACAGAAAGATTGTATTTATGTATTACTTGTATAAAAAGCATAATATCCAGATTCCAGATAAAAAACTGCTGCTGCTCAAGGAGGAAGAAGGCCGTCAGATACTAGAGCCTTCAGCCTCCTCTCCCTCTGCCTCACTCCCAGGTGGAAACGTCATTTTCTCATTCCCTCACCTTTAGCACTTGGATAAACTTTCAGTCTCTCAGGCACAGGAACCCACTGGTTGTAAGAAAGATAGAACCAATCTGTAGTTAAAGGACAAGATTAGGTGTATTTCTGGCATCTTATATTTATATTGATGATAATATAATTCCGTTTCATAGTGGGGCACTTAGCCACCCTTTGTAACAGTGTTTAATGAGAAAATGCTTTCTAGATTCCAAATATCTGATGGTTTGCAAAGAATTTGTGAACACGTGTATGCATAAGCGGAAGACTCCGGCATCTTTTAAATGTCCAGAGTGTTGGTCAGCATACTGGGTGATACACTGACTTCTGAGCTTGGAGGTAGTACAAGGCAATAAGGAGTAAAAGATCCCTTTTGTGAAAAAGGAACAATCACTACCTTTTAACAGACGGCTCTTTGCTTTCATTAGGAATAAAGATGGCTGTTGAAGCAGTAGAAAACAATTGCCTCAATTTTGTGGGAATGAAATTTATTGACAACACACTTTATTTTGTAGGTAAGTCTAAAGCAATAGGCCAAATACAGGTTTCAGATCAATGTATTCAACTAGAAAAGGCATTGTGAGATGAACTATTAAGTGACTCCTTACTGTCATCAAATTCCACTGCAATGCTAATGATATACTTCTCTGGAAAAAGGAAAATTGGGCTTCTGGAAGTTAACCATAATATATCCATGGTCCTAGCACCTTGTCCATCACATGACCTGGCACTTCAGTTAAGCAGTAGCCCATTTACAAGGTGAAAGCTAGTGCACATCATGATAATTCCACAAAATTGGGTACATTCAAGGAATACAATTTCCTAAGCCAACTGGCAGATTATATAAGAGACTAGAGGCCCGGTGCACAATTTCTGCACTCGGGGTGGGGAGGGTTCTTCAGCCCACCCTGTGCCCTCTCGCAGTCTGGGACCCATCAGGGGATGACCACCTGCTGGCTTAGGCCCGTTCCCCGGGGGATTGGGCCTAAGATGGCAGTCAGACATCCCTCTGGCAGCCCAGCAGCCCTAGGGGGATGTCCACTTGCCAGCGGGGAGCAGGCCTAAACTGCAGTCGGACATCCTTAGTGCTGCTGAGGAGGCAGGAGAGGCTCCCACCACCACCGCTGTATTGGCAGCCATCAGCCTGGCTTGTGGCTAAGCAGAGCTTCTCCCATTTGAGAGCGCCCTGACCACCAGAGGGAAGCTCCTGCATTGAGCGTCTGCTCCCTGGTGGTCAGTGTGTGTCATAGTGACCAGTCATTCCCAGTCTTTCTGCTGTTAGGGTCAGTTTGCATATTACCCTTTTACTATATAGGATAGAGGCCTGGTGCACAGGTGAGGGCCAGTTGGTTTGCCCTGAAGGGTGTCCCGGATCAGGGTGGGGGTCCCGCTTGGGTGCCTGGCCAGTCTGGATGAGGGGATGATGGCTGTTTGCAGCTGGTCGCACCTCCTTCAGGGTGGGGGTCCCCACTGGGGTGCCTGGCCATTCTGGGTGAGGGGCTGAGGGCTGTTTTCAGGCTGGCGGGTGACTGAAGCTCCCAACCTCTCCTTTTTTTCTTTTCTTTTTATTCTGGGATTTATTTACCTTCTATGGCTGTCACTGGAGCTGAGAGCCGGCTTTAGCTCTGAGGCTCAGCTCCAGCTCTGAGACCTCGGCTGGTGAAAGCAGGTATCTGGGCTTTGTTTAGCTTCTATAATTGAAACACTGTTGCAACTCCAGCTCTGAGGCCCCACTGGCTGAAAGCAGGTTTCTGGGGATTGTTTAGCTTCTATAATTGCAACATAGTTGCTTATAGTGCAGCTCAGAGCTGGGTGGCAGCAGGCGGGGAACCTTGGCTTCCTCCATCACTGGAGCAAGCAAGCCTCCTGTTCACTTCAGCTGCCTGGCTGCCGGCCGCCATCTTGGTTGGCAGTTAATTTGCATATCACCCTGATTAGCCAATGGGAAGCGTGTCGGAGGTATGGTTAATTACCATGTTTGTCTATTATTAGATAGGATACCTTAAATCTGTGAGTGAGCTGTACCATATAACGTAAATATATCTGGCAAATAAAAACAGATTCTTAAGATTAGTCTTCCATGGGCCATTTGGCTTCATTTGAAAGCTTCATAGAAAGTCCTGAGGCAACCTTCCAATGAACCAACAAATTTAAGAGTAAAATCTATCACTTTATAAAATTTCTTTTTAGTTACAAATTTACATTTACTAGTATAAACCCTGGATTTAGGTTTTATATCTAATTTACCAGAGAACACACTAAGTCTATCTAATGAGCTTTGTTTTATGGGACCTTGTGGATGATTATATAATACTAGAGGCCCGGTGCACGAAATTCATGCATGGGGGATTCGGGGGGGGGGGGGTGTCCCTCAGCCTTGCCTGCACCCTCTCCAATCTGGGACCCCTTGGGGGATGTCCGACTGCTAGTTTAGGCCTGATCCCAGGGATCAGACCTAAACCAGCAGTCGGACATCCCTCTCACAATCCGGGACCACTGGCTCCTAACTGCTCACCTGCCTGCCTGCCTGATTGCCCCTAACTCCCCCCCCCCGCCCCCGCCAGCCTGGTCGCCCCACGCAGCCTGCTGTTCAGTTGTTTGGTCATCCCTCACTAACCCCCCCGCCAGCCTTGTTGCCCCAGGCAGCCTGCTGGTCATTACTGTTACTGTGATGGTGTCCCAGACAATTTGCATATTCCTCTATTATTAGTATAGATTTCCAATAGGGCCAACAACAGTAAGATAGCAGTTAAATAATGGGGAGTGGCAGAAAAGAGTAACAAAAGGTAGGGTGAGAGGAGATTCTGAGTTGAAATATAGAATTTAACATTTTGTTTCTCTTTTTTCCCCTTTAGGTGAAAATGATGGTAAAGTATAAATTTATTTCTTTTTCTTTGCTAAAGTAAAAAGAGCTACTTAAGCATCCCACAGACACACCATATCACCATTCTTATCTGAGAGAAACTAGTACCAATCTATTTGAGAAGCTAATCTTCCCTCAAAGCAATGTGGACCCAGTAGCACAGCCTTGGAATAAAGCTGTCCATAAAGGATACAAAAGAAAACCTCCAACAAAACTGCTTATTTACACTTCAGGCAATTCTTAGAATCTACAAAACAGACTTTGCCTGCTACACAGATTGTGAGATTAGCAGGAAGTCATGGATTCTCTAGAGGACATGGGAAAAGGAGATTTGAAGCCTGAAAATTGTAGTCCAAAATCAATAACATCTTTGTTCTTTAACCCTCTCTCTCAGAAATGCTTTGGAAAAAAGCCTGGGAGGCTACCAGGGAAAAAATATTTTCAAAGTAGAGGAGATGGGGAAGGTGGGAGCAAGCAAGAACTATGAGGTGGAGTCATTAAGTCTGCAAGAAGTGGATGTACCCAGCCCTGTCCTTCTGGCATTCAGAGAGGATCATACCCTATCTGGTCTGTGAGCCTTTAACAGATGTCCAGATTATTAAAGGTCATTATTTCTCATCCTTTTCCTTAAAAATAGCACTTTCCACATTTTTAAGGTGATCATTACTGAACTATAAGTGAAAAAAGTAACTTAAAAATACTATTCATGTTTTTTTTTGTTTTCCAGCTTCATTGAGATATAATGACATGTAACTCCTCATGTTTTTTAAAGATTGCCCTACTCTCCATTTATTAATTCAATATATATGGGGGTAAAAGTAGGTTTACAGTTGTTCGTATGGAAAACAATACAATAATTAATAAATAATAACACAAAAATAAACTCTGTTTTGAGTACTCTCAATTGTAAACCTGCTTTTGCCACCCTGTGTTGACATCTGTATCTCAGGTACTGTTAGGCACTAGGATACAGTGGTAAGCAAATCACAGTTCCTATAGGGAGAAACAGGCACTTAAGGAAGGCAATTGGAACATGGTCTGTTAAGGCACAGGATGCTATGGGAACTTATAGAAAGGGCACCTATTTCAGTCCAGTAGATTCTGGGAGGACACTTTGAAGGAGGGACATTTTTGAAGAGGGTATAGAAGTTAGCCAAGGGAAAGTATTCTGAGCATAGAGAAGGCCACATGAAAGGCCAAGATATGAAAGAAAGCATAGCATGTACAAGGAATCAAGAGTACTTCAGAATGAGAGTAGGAGAATGATGAAAGAATGATAAATAGGATGCAGATCAAGAAGGTTCTCTTCTTTCAAGATATGGAATTTGGGCCTTATCTTTGGGTAATGGGGATTCATTAAGCAACATATGCATGATCTAGAATGGAAATTGGTTTGCTGCAAAAAGAGATCCAAAAATATAGTGATAGAATAAGATAGAAAATATTTCTCTCAAAAATAAGTCCAAGTAGACAATTCAAGATTAAGGATGCAGCCTGATGTTATTGGGATCTTAAGATGTTCTGTCTTGTTATTCCATTATGCCCTAGTTGTTTAATTCACTCACATACTTGAAAATCATCACCACACTTCCTGGGTCCATATCCCAGCTAGCAAGAAAGGGTTCAAAATAAGAGGAAGATGGCCTATTCCTTTTAAAGGTTCTAGATGGAAGTCATACACATCAATTATACTCATTTTCCATTGACTTTATTCTGAGTGGTCATGTGCCTCATTAAAATTCAGAGATAATTTTATCTAAAATTCAAAAATTCTTTCTGGCTTCAGTATAAAGAGCTAGAGGCCCAGTGCATGAATTTGTACATGGGTGTTATGGGCCCCCATCGGGTTGGGCGGGTGGGGGGGAGGGGCCGTGGACATTTGGCTGGCCCTGCCCCTGATCAGGGTGTTGGGGGCCAATCAGGGGCTGGGCCAGCAGGGGAACGGGGGCTGATTAGGGCCTGGATCAGGCTGGTTGGCTGCCACAGTGCACATCATAGCCACCGGTCATTCCAGTTGTACTGGTCGTTCCACCGTTCTGGTCGCTGGACTTCTATATATATAGATTGGTGTGGGGACAAAAAAGGGGGGATGACAATTAAGAAGCTATTGTCCTTGTAAAAAATGATGGGAACATGAATTAGGCAGGGATAACAGGGTGCCGATAAAAAGCAATGAATGGATTTTATAAATACTTGGAAGAATCCAAGTATTTTGAGGTTAGCCTAGGGAGGGGATAGAGAGAAAGATGGTGCCTATATTTTCTCACTTAGGAAATTTGTACTATTAGTGAAATAGGAAGCACAAGGGGAAGAGCAGGGTAAAGTGGTATGCAGAGCAAAGAGGAAGATAGATGATGAATTTAGTTTTGTATCTTGTCTGTGGGACATCCTAGTGGACATGTCCAGTAGATTCTTGGACATAATAGTTCTAAGCTCGGGATGAAAATTTGGGCTGAAGATAAACCTATAGGAGGCTTATGTGTAGAAATGACAGCTGAAACTATAGGAATAAAAAGACAAAACAGAGGAAATGTGTGAAGTGAGAAAGTAAAAGCCAAGGACTAAGTCAGGGGAATACCTATGTTTGAGGATGCAGTAGAAAGAGAAGCTAATAAACAAAAGAGTAACCAAAGAGGAAGAAGAAAAACCAAGAGAATGCCACAGAATCCCAGGAGAGATTTTCAAGATGGAGGTAACAGTCACTGTGTTGAATTTTACAGCCTTGAAAACCAAGGATAGGAAAGCATTTATTACATTTAGCAACAGGGAGTTTGGTGATCTCGCTGAAAGAAGTTTGGTGGAGAAATAGAGGCAGAGAGAGATTGCAATGAGTAGAAGAGTGAATGGAAAGTAAGGGAATGACACAGTTCTTACCAGAAGCTCCACTATTAAAAGAAGAAACAAGGCTAGCTACCGAATAGGATATGATTGATGGAGGAGTTTTAAATCTCAAAATGAAAAGAGTTTTGTGGGCTTTTTAATTATAAAAATAATGTGTTTATTATAAATGATTCAGGCAATTAAAAAAGAAAAACATGAAAAAACCTAGGAATCCTAATAATCAGTATCATTTGGTATATTATTTCTGTACTTCTTTAAATATATGTGAGTAAAAGTAGGTTTACAGTTGTGAGCATGTGCAGCACATCTTATTATTATATTATTATGTATTATTGTATTATTTGTATTACAACTGTAAACCTACTTTTGCCCACATGTGTGTGTGTGTGTGTGTGTGTTTTTGTGTGTGTGTAATATTATACCTAAGTTTCTTTTTCTAGTTTAATACACATGGACATCCTTACATGGCAAAGAATAATTACAGTTATATTAAATTCATGATATTCCAAAATTTATTTGCTCAGTCCCCAATTGATAAACATTTAAATTGTTTCCAGTGCTCCCATAAGCATTATAGCAGAGAAATATTTACACATTTTTCTGATTGTTCCTTTAGGAAAAAATCAAGGAAATAGAATTGCTGGGTTGATATAGAAGAGGGGATGATTGGTAAATCAAGGTTTCAGGAGAATATACATCAGAGCACAGGTAGGGTTAGCCTTAGATATCAGAAGGGGCACCTTTTCTACATTTCCCTTGGGACAAGAGGAATAAGGAAATGACTGGTGGTGCCACAGTTAAATTTGTAAGTGGAGTAGCAGGAAATCATTTATTGAAAGTGAAAGCAGAGATGATGATGTCGAGATCCTGAGGAGGGTAGGGAAGATCTGAAATGATAGCTATGGATTATGAAAGAGGGTGCTGAACTGTTAAAAAAAAAAAAAAAAAAGGTACTGACAATTTATATGCTTGCAATGGCACCAGGTTGTGCATTTGTATAATTACCAGTGACACTCAGCAGCCAGGTTTGGAGTTTTGTAGTAGAAAGACAAATGAACAAATGAGTTTGGGATTGGAACGGCTGGCAAAGGGTAGACAAAATGATGAACGAACCATAAGGTCCAGACTGCATAGAAAATGAAAGGAAGACAGGAAGGTTAGGGTGAGAGGAAATGCCTATTTTAAAATCAGGAGGACTCAGTGAAGCAGAGGAAAAGTATAAAACAACTAGGATAGGAGATTGTGATCAGAAAGCAGAGTGTTTGAATTTAACATTTCAGAGGCAGAGTAGTTCTGGGTGATAAGAAGAAGCAGAGTTGTCTTTGGAAATGGATGAAAAAACATTGTGCAACTTTATCTTAGCTGCTTCTGTAGCAGAAGATTGTGATCAGTATCTATTGAAAACTTAAATATATAGTATGCTTGTTTGTAAATTTTGGAAAAAAAACTTATTTTTAATGCAATTTAATGTCCATCCTAGAAAACCTGGAATCAGACTACTTTAGCAGATTTGAACCTAGATTGTCAGTCATACGAAATCTGAACGACCAAGTTCTCTTCGTTTCCCAGAGAAGCCAAGCTGTGTTTGAAGATATGACTGATTCTGAGTGTGAAGGTATTTTTAAAATATATTTACAAACATAGAAATGACAAGCTACTTCTTATTCCCTTTTACTGCCTACTTTTTTCTATTATAGACCTAGTCCTTAAATGAAAAGTAATAGCAATAGTAATAATTTCACTTACAAGAAACTTTATAGAGTATCCAAATATTGTAGTTGAGATGAAAAATTGATACAATGAAGATATTGCCAGAGGTTGGGAGGAGGACGAAGAGGGTAAAGGGAATCAAATACGTGCTGATGGAAAAGCAGGTTTCAGGTGGTGGGCACACAGCAGAGTATACAGATATTGTATCCTAAAATTGTACATCTGAAATTTATATAATGTTATTAATCAATGTTACCCCAATAAATTTAATTTAAAAATTTTTTAAGATATATCTAGGGGTCATGTTACTCTGGGCCTACATTTGGATCATGAGTTCCTTCATTGCAACTGCATGAACTGTACAAGATTTCTATAGAGTTGGATCCTTCATACCTGCTGGCTATAGCTGAAATTGCTGATAGCATTTTCAAAACTCAAAATTAAAAATAAATATCAAGCATTTCAAATAAGTCTGTCTCCCATCAGAAATTTAGAGTGCTTAGGAAATGAATAAGTTTACTGTGCTTTCCAAGGTATAAATTCCAAATACCAAAGTTTAGGCAGAGTTGAAACAGTGAATGTGCACCCTTGAAAAATCCTCAATTTTTACCTTAACAGGTAGATTTTTAATATTGTATTTAGCATTTAAAAGTTAAAGACAGCCCTACTGGCGTGGCTCAGTGGTTGAGGGTCGACCTGTGAACCAGGAGGTCTTCATTCGATTCTGGTCATGGCATATGCCCAGGTTGTGGGTTTGACCTCCAGTGGGGAGTGTGCAGGAGGCAGCTGATCAATGAATCCCTTCATCATTGATGTTTCTATCTCTCTCTCCCTTCTTCTCTGAAATCAATAAAAATACAATTTTTTAAAGTAAAAGTTTAAGACAATCTTTCAGAATTCAGAATATCTCTTAAACACTCAAAATGTTACTGCTTTTGTGTGTGATACATATTTGAATGTGTTTTAAAGAATGTCTGAGCAACTGTGTATCATCTCCACTCACTGGCTGAATCACAGTGTGTGGGATGTGTAATGGGTCTATTAAGGATTATCCTTTGGCTAATTTCTATAAATATTGATTTGCAAAAATTCTTCTAACTAGTGTTCTCATTTGTTAATATTTATTTCAGAAAATGCATCCCTGACTAAAATTATAATATATACATATAAAGATAGCTACCCTAGAGGTATGGCGGTAAGCCTCTCTGTGAAGTGTCCAGATATGCTTACTCTCTCCTGTATGAACAAAGATATTTCCTTTAAGGTAAGACTAAACCTATATTTGATAGATATATATTTATATATATGGAAATTTAGAAAACCTAAATATCCTCAGTCCAACTTTTTATCTAGAACAAGAATGGCAGGAAGCAGAGAACCATTAAAATAGTTCAACTCTTTAACCCATCATGCTTTTTCTAAGTCTGCCATAGGGAGGAAGGGGTACAACACTTGTTTCACAGCCTGGGTCTTCTGAATAATCTATCTAAAGGTAAATAATAATATAGAAGACATACATGAATTATTATATTTATTTGAGAATTGCATGACTTTCCAAAATGTCTTGTTAAATGGAATGAAGCCAATTATCCTTCTGTAAGCCTTCTATGTACTTTGTGAATTATGATGATAATATTTTAATCCTAATTGTTTTTTATTCTAAATTCTTTATTGTTGAAAGTATTACATATGTCTCCTTTTTGCCCCCATTGACCTCTATCCGGCCGCTTCCCCCACTCCCGCCCCCAGCACATGTCCCTGCCCCACTACTGTCTGTATCCATTGGTTATGCTTATATGCATGCATACAAGTCCTTTGGTTGATCTCTTGCCCCCCTCTCCCACCCTCCCCTGCCTTCCCGCTGAGGCTCGACAGTCTGTTCAATGCTTCTATGTCTCTGGATCTATTTTAGTTCATCAGTTTATTCTGTTCATTATATTCCACAAATGAGTGAGATCATGTGGTATTTATCTTTCTCCGACTGGCTTATTTTGCTTAGCATATGCTCTCCAGATCCATCCATGCTGATGCAAATGGTAAGAGTTCCTTCTTTTTTACAGCAGCATAGTGTTCCATTGCGTAGATGTACCACCATTTTTTAATCCACTCATCTGTTGATGGGCACTTAGGCTGTTTCCAAATCTTTGCTATTATAAATTGTGCTGCTATGAACATAGGGGTGCATATATCCTTTCTGATTGGTGTTTCTGATTTCTTCTGATATATTCCTAGCAGCGGGATCACTGGGTCAAATTGGAGTTCCATTTTTAATTTTTTGAGAAAACTCCATACTGTTTCCCACAGTGGCTGCACCAGTCTGCATCCCCACCAGCAGTGCAGGAGGGTTCCTTTTTCTCCACATCCTCGCCAGCACTTGTCATTTGTTGATTTGTTGATGATAGCCATTCTGACAGGTGTGAGAAACCTAATTGTTTTATTCCTGCATCCTTCAGCTTTCAGTTGATATATATTATTTTTAATGTAAAGCTAAGTGAATAAAATTAACAAGATTAGCTGTGAAAGCAATGGTATAATGTATCTCAAAGCCAAGTATAAATTATTTCTGGCCACTGCTTTTTTTCTCTATTCTCCATTTTTTTTTCTCTTGAAGAGTTTCTGATTGGGGGTTTGCCAGTAAAATACTTGAGCAATGGGAACTGAAGTTTAGAATATGACCTAGTGGACATGTTGAGGGGCAACTTGGAAGGAAGGAAAAAGCCACTCTAAAATATAATCCAAGTAAAATCAGTGTGTATGCCACAAATACAACCTCCAAACAAATCCCTTAACCATCCCCTTCCAACCAGAGGGCCACCCTTTTGGGTGGCAATTTAGACTTCCCATTCTCAGGCCTGACAAGCAGGAAGCTTAGTTACCATAATGGCTTTAGAGGCCTGGGATAGACAGGGTGGGTGGAGAGGATTAAGCGTGTTGTTATCTAACAACAAAATCAAAAGGGGAGGAGGGAGATGGCCAAGCTCAAACTATGTGTGGTAAAGAAAAACTAATTCAGTTGCAGAAGCAGATTCAGAAACTGGGATAAGCCTAAGCTCTAAGTGGATTATTATTGAGAGAAACTGGGGAGTGTTGAAAGGGGTGGAAATAATGCTTGGCAAAAGAAAAGAAAAAAAAGAAAAGACAAGAGAAGGGAAGGGAAGGGAAGTGAAGGGAAGGGAAGGATGCTTGGTATACACTAGGAACTGGAGCAAATCAGATTTAGGGGATCCTGAAACTTATACAATTTGGGCAGGCCTTTTAATGAAAGAGAATATAAAATTACCAAAAGCATCAAGTTTTATTTAGAATAAGAAAAGAAGGGGCCTTAGAAGAGATCTGTGCAAGTGGAGGGCTCTGACATTTAAGCTTCATTAGCTTCATAGCAAATCTGCTTCTGAAGGAACTCATTAAATATTAGTTAGAGGGAGGGAGAAAGAGAGGGTGAGAGGAAGGAGGAAGGAGGAAGGAAGGAGGAAGGAAGGAGGGAGGGAGGAAGGAAGGAAGGAAGGAAGGAAGGAAGGAAGGAAGGAAGGAAGGAAGGAAGAAAGAAAGAAAGGAAGGAAGGAAGCTAGTTTTAGCTCATGCTCTTTAACCCTTTTACCCCCACTAAAAAGGATCTTAGCAGTGATTATAAATATAGACTATGTTCTACTAGATAATAAGACACAACTTGCTGCCATTATGTGCTCACCTTTCTGTGTTGGTTACTAGCTATAAAGTCCTAGTGCTTATGGATACCTGCTGCCTTTAGGTAAGAACCTTCATGACACCAAGAGGGATTTGTTCAAGAAGTTACTATTAGTGCCTGTTTCTTATATAGACATTTGGGCAGTCAGGATTCTCTCAAGTGTGCTAATGCACTTGGGAAAGGGCAAACACACACACACACACACACACACACACACACACACAAAAAAAAAAAAAAAAAAAAAAAAAAAAAAAAAAAAACCAGCCGAAACCGGTTTGGCTCAGTGGATAGAGCGTCGGCCTGCGGACTGAAAGGTCCCAGGTTCGATTCCGGTCAAGGGCATGTACGTTGGTTGCGGGCACATCCCTAGTGGGGGATGTGCAGGAGGCAGCTGATCGATGTTTCTCTCTCATCGATGTTTCTAACTCTCTATCTCTCTCCCTTCCTCTCTGTAAGAAATCAATGGAATATATTTAAAAAAAAAAAAACAGATGTTAGCTCCGGCTTAACTTTCTCTGGGTCTAGATTCAACCCCTCCTGATGTAAACAATCCCATAGGTCCTTGGAGCACTCAAGTTTCATTATGTAAAGCTGTTTCCATATCCACTTACTGTGCACCTTCCCTATGATGGCTATGAATAATCAACACCAAAACCAAGGAGAGCTACTGCCCTAGGATTTCCTTGCCCCTGTTCTGAAATGTCACATTGAACTACGATTAGAGATCACCTGTTCTACCTATCCATACTCCCACTTTCAACCACAACTTTCCATGCCAGGTTTGAACTAACAGGTTCATCTCCTTCTAATATTTCTAGAGCTTTTGAAGTTTTGGCTAAGGATTATTTCTCACTTATACATTAGAGTAGCTTAGTCCCAAATTCATTCCCCATTTTAAGGTCTCTTCCTAAATTCTGGGGTACTGTAGTCAGCTACAGAAATATATGTCAGTGGGAGAACTGGTTTAAACTGTCAACAATTTAGGACCCCCTCTTATTGATAAAAGACAAAGTTAAGAGTTATGACTATAAATTCCGTAATTGGTTGAAAAGTTGGGAGGTAACCAAACTTCTTTCGGGCATCTTAGAAAGATGCTGGAATGTTATTTTGGATCTGGAGCTTTCTCTGTTAGTCCTTAGTTAGGATCATGAGAATTTTTGCTGCCATGGGGTTAAAATTAAGTTCAAATATCTACAGTTCTGGGATTAACATGGAAAGAACCTTGGGTGGTCCTCAGAATTTCTAGTTCATCTTGAAAAGTAGGTATGGTCAACAAACCAGACCTAGCTGGTTTGGCTCAGGGGATAGAGCATTGGCTTGCAGACTGAAGGATCCCAGGTTTGGTTCTGGTCAAGGTCAAGGGCACGTGCCTGGGTTTCGGGCTCAATCCCCAGTAGGGGTGTGCAGGAAGCAGCCAATCAGTGATTCTCTCTCATCATTGACATTTCTATCTCTCCCTCTCTCTTCCTCTCTGAAATCAATAAAGATATATTTTAAAAATTAAAAGTAAATAAAATAAAATAAACCAATAAAATATATTTTTTAACAAAAAGAAAAGTAGGAGATGAGGCCCAGAAATCAGGATTTTAAAAAGATTCCCAGGTGATTCTAATGTGCAGCCAAGGTTGAGAACCACTGAACTAGAGCTAGGCTAGGCTAGGCTATGGCTGGAGGTCATCAATGTCTTTAGCTCTGAATGGTTGGAAAAGACAGGAAATGACATTAGCCCATAAAAGGTGGTGGTCTTTGCTAGAAATCGACTCCATCTTGAGCAATGGGAGAAAGAGAAGAAAGCTATATGATTAAATAAATTGGGAAAAACTAGAGAGCTAGACCTGAATGTGCATTCCATGGTGGGAACAGCCAAAGTGGACAAGGAGAATAGGAAATTAGAATTCAGAGGAAGAGGAAATCAGTGTTCCTATATGCTGAGATTTGTTTTCAATCTTAACTTGTGAAAATAAAAACTTCTTTACTTCTGTGCAATAATATACTTCAAAATAAACTGCACACATTCTGATTATTCGTGCCCTAAAAATTAATATTTTTTTCTCTACAGAAAATGAGTCCTCCTGCTGATATCAATGATGAAAAAAGTGACATCATATTCTTTATGAGAAGTGTTCCAGGATCTTACAATAAGATGCGATTTGAGTCTTCATTGTATGAAGGATATTTTCTAGCTTGTAAAAAGGAGGGGGATCTTTTTAAACTCATTTTGAAAGAAAAGGACATAGATTGGGATGACTCTGTAATGTTCACTGTTGACGACAAAGAGCTAAATATTAAAATTTCATAGTTTGAACTTTCTGAGTTTTTGTCTTCCAGAAAAGTTAAGTTTGAGTCTATAATTGTAATGATGAAATAAAATGAATAATGATCTCAAAAGATACCACTAAGAAATGAATAGTAAGCTTTCACAAAATTGAATTGATGCCCTTTTATGCAGATGAATAAATCATTTGTATAATGTAAAAAGATGCATAGTTTGAAAACATAGTCTACATTGTTGACATTGGAATATAGATTATACTCAATAAAAGTGTTTTGAATCTTTTGGGTTATGATGAAAGATACTGATATTTGAATTTTCTAATTATTAAGAATGTCATTAAAACCATCAAAATTTTATAAAGAGACCACTTCAGTTGACTAATTTCTCATTTCCTCCAAAGTCAGAATACTTTCAAAAGTCAAATTGATCCTGCAACATAGAAAAAGGATTATACACACTGAGCAAGTGGCATTCAACCCAGGAATGCAAATGCTTTAATATTCCTAAATCAATTAATGTAATATAGCATATTAATAAAGGGTAAAAACCACACAATCATCTCAATAGATGCAGGAAAGCATTTGACAAAAGCCAATTCATAATAAAAATTGTCAACAAACTTGAAAGAGAAGAGAACTTTCTGTTAAAGGGCATCTGTGAAAACTCTACCACTAACATCATATTTAATGGTGGAAAAATAATGCAAGAATATCAGCTCTTCTACTCAGTGTACTGGAGGTTCTAGTGATTGACAATCACAAGAAAAAGAAAAGGCATCTAGATTAGAAAGGAAAAAGTAAAATTGTCTTTATTTGAAGACAACATGATTCTGTATGTAGAAGATCAGAATACACGTGTGCATGCAGACAAACCCCTATTAAAATTAAACAAGGTCCCTAACCAGTTTAGCTCAGTGTATGGATCATCGGCCTGTGGACTGAAGGGTCCCCGGTTCGATTCCGGTCAAGGTCATGTGCCTTGGTTGTGGGCACATCCCCAGTTGGGGGTGTGCAGGAGGCGGCTGATCTATGTTTCTCTCTCATCAATGTTTCTAACTCTCTATGCTTCTCCCTTCCTCTCTGTAAAAAAATCAATAAAATGTATTCTAAAAAAATTAAACAAGGTCAGCAGGGTTGCAGAATACAAGATTAATATATGGAAATAAATTGTATTTCTATATATGAGAATGAACAACCTGAAAATAAATATAAAACAATTCCATTCACAACAGTGCTAAAAAGATATATAAAAATAAATTTAGCAAAAGAAGTGCAAGATTTGTACAATAAAGTTTTAAAAACATTTCTGAGAGAAATTAAGTCTGATTTAAATAAATGAAGAGACACCACATTCACTGATTGGAAGACTCAATATTGTTAAGATGACAGTTCTCCCCAAATTGATCAATAGATTCAACTCAATCTCCATCAAAATTCCAGCAGGATTTTTTGCAGAAATAATTGACAAGCTGTACCTAAGATGTACATGGAAATCAAAAAGACAGAATAGCCAAAAAAAATTAAAAAAAAAAAACTTCGTAAACTTTCATTTCCTACTCTTAAAACTTAATATAAGTTATCAGAACTGTTTGGTACTGACATAAGAATAAACATAGATCAATGGGACAGATTTGAAAGTTTAGTAATAAATCCTTATATTCCCAGTTGATTTTTTTACAAGGACAGCTTGATGGAAAGGAGAATTTTTAACAAATGGTCCTAAGTCAACTGGAAATCCATATTCCAAAAGAATGAATGTAGACCCTTATCTCACACTATACAAAAATTAATTAAAAATGGGTCAGTGACAGTAATGTAAGCTAAAGCTATAAAACCTTAGAATAAGACAGGAGAAATTAAGAACTTGGGTTAGGCAAAAATTTTTAAGACCCAACCAGGAAGTATGATCTATAAAAGAAAAAACTGATAAATTGGACTTAATAAAAATTCAAAATTTGGGAGTGCAACTGGGTTAAGTGTACATAATACCTCTCTATACTATCTTTGCAACATCCTGTGAATCTTTATTTCAAAATTAAAATTTTCTTAGAAACAACTTTGCACTCAAAAGGAATCATTAAGAAACTGAAAAGACAACCCACAGACTGGATAAAATATTTATAAATCACATATATGGCAAAGAAAAATGTATCTAGGATATACAAAGAATTCTCACAACTCAATAAGAAGACAATCCAATTTTTTGTTGTTGTTAATCCTCACCTGAGAATATTTTTCCATTGATTTTCAGAGAGAGTGGAAGGGAGGGGGGAGATAGAGAGAGAAACATCAATGTAAGAGAGACACATCAGTTGGTTGTCTCCCACACATGCCCTGATCAGGGTCAGGGATTGAGTCTGCAACCGAGGTGCTGCCCTTGACTGGAATCAAACTCGGGCCCCCACAAGCCGACGCTGTATCCACTGAGCCAAACCAGCCAAGGCAAGAAAATCCAATTTTTTAATGGGCAAAAGAAATTGATAGATATATCTCAAAATAATGTATAAGTGGCTTATAAGCACATGAAAAGATGCTTAACATCATTAGTCATTAGAGAAATGCAATTAAAACCACCAAGTTACCACTTCATAGCCACCAGGATGGTTATTATCAGAAAGATAGACAATAACAAGTGGCAAAAATGTTAAGAAACAGGAATTCTCACACATTGCTGTTGGAAATGTGGAAAAGTACAGCCACTTCAGAATAGCTTTTCAGTTTCTTAGAAGGTTAAATATAAATTTTTTATATGAACCAGCAATTCCATTCCTACATATCTATTCAAAAGTAATAAAATACATGTTCACACAAAGATTCACACAGTAATGTTTATATCAGCATTACTCCTAATAGTCAAAAAGTGGAGCAAGCCCAAATACTGATCAGCTGGTGAAGGGAAAAACAAAATGTGGTATATCAGTATGTCCATAAATACCAACAAAAAAGTGTAAAATACAGATACAGACTACAACATGAATGAACTTTAAACAGATACTAAATTAAAGAAGCCAAATACAAAAGATTACATGTTATATGATTCCATTTATATGAAACTAGAGGCCCGGTGCACGAAAATTCATGCACTCATGGGGGTGGGGGGGGGGGGTCTCAGACTGGCCTGCACCCTCTCGCAATCAGGGACCCCTCGGGTAGGGTCCCTAGGCCTGGCCTGAGATCAGGGCCTATGGGGCTTTTCTTCCCCCGGCTGCTGGCAGCTGTTCCTGCCCCTGCTGCTGCCACTGCTTGCCATCTGTGCAGCGCTGCTCCCCCTCCCCTGCCACCGGTGGCCTCCCTCTGCAGGCTACAGGCGTGGGGTGCAATTGCTTGGCTGGCCTGGGCCTCCCTCTGCGGGGCAATTGCTGGCCAGCCCCGCACACTTGCACAGCGTTGCTGGCCGGTGACTTGGGCCTCCCTCTGTGGGGTGATCGATGGCAGGGTCCCCAGATTGATCACCCCCCAGAGGGAGGCCCCACCCACCTGCTGCAGCGCCACCGGGTAGCCTGGGCCACCCTCTTTCTTTCTTTTTTTTTTTTTAAGTAAGAGCAATGTTTACTGAACGATACAGAACTGAGTACTATGAAGGGTTTACCAGGGTGTAAATGCCCCATACCCCCACCCCTGCCACCCCCAACACCCAGAGACTACAGTACTTAGAAGTTACATGCAATGGCCATAACTATTGAATATCTGTTTGTAACAAACAAACCATAGCGTATTTATACTGTATCACAACAAGTGATTATAGAAATCCATTTATATATTGCTTGTATAAAATCTCTTTTTGGCCCTAACCGCTTTGGCTCAATGGATAGAGCATCAGCCTGCAGACTCAAGGGTACCAGGTTCGATTCCGGCTAGGGGCATGTGCCTTGGTTGCGGGCACAACCCCAGTGGGGGGTGTTCAGGAGGCAGCTGATCGATGTTTCTCTCTCATAGATGTTTCTAACTCTCTATCCCTCTCCTTTCCTCTCTGTAAAAAGCAATAAAATATATTTTTTTTAAAAAATCTTTTTTTTTGTAAAAAATATATTTTAAAAAGAAGAAAGAAAGCATAAAAAACATGTGCAGTTGAAAGCCCTGCCAGGACAGCCAGTCTATAAACATTCAGTGAGTATGTGCTTTGTCAGGGCGCCCGTGCCTCGTGCCCACAGCAACTCCAGCAGTGCCGGCGAGGGTGTGCCCCTGATGCCACTCCAGGCAGGACTGAGCTGGACCACGGTGAGTGGGTACAGCAGGGCCTGGAACTGTGCCCTTCTCCAGCCTTGCATCAGGGTCAGGGTCAGGGTCAGGGTCAGGACTGGGGGCAGGCAAATTGCAGTTTCACTCTGAGTTCCATACTCAGCCTAATTTTAGTTGCAATTCATGGCTTTTCCTGGCTGCTCAGAGGTCCTTTGGGTGGGTGCCCTGGCGGAGAGGCCGGAGAAGTGCCCACAGCTGCCTGGTTGGGCGCCTCTCTGGCCCAGAGCCTCTGTCCTGCCTCCTGCAAGCCTGGCCCCAGGCAGAACAGGCCACCCTCAGGACTACTTTGGTCTCAGCGCTTGGTCCTGGGTTTCATCAGCCTGGGTTTCTTCCCCTGGTGTGGCTGATCTGAGTTTCACAAAAAAGCCTGGCCAATGCTGGCTGTGCTGAGCTTCATTGAAGAGCTTTTCATGCATCAAGGAAGAGCCCTCTGGAACCCTCCTCCTCCTCCTCTTCCTCCTCAAAGCCCATGGTCACTTCTTCTCCAGCTGCTCCAGCAGTGGGTTGCCTTCTGAGTAGGGGGGTCTTAACACTGTTGGTCCTGACGATGCAGGTGGGGCGATGCCAGTTGAGCATCAGGATGAGCTGCTGCCACTCCTGGGTCAGTTTCTCCATCTGGGTTTTCAGCTCTGCATTCATGAGCTCTAGCCACTCAGATTCCCCTGCAGAAACTCCGACTGCTCCTTCTTGTTCCGGCCTCAGGCTGCCACCACTTTGTTCTTTTCCCGGAGCCTTTTCTTCCTCATCTAGCTCAATTTTCACAGGTTGAGGCCTCTTGCCTAGTTTCACCTCCAGGAAGTGCAAGGGGGTGATCATGGCCCCAGTGTTGTGGATGTCAGCGTATTTCAGCTCCTCTGCAGTCAGGGCCGAGCTGGGGAGTCCGGTCAAGGGGCCAAGCCCTGGCAGAGAGCCCCCAGTCATGGAAGGGTCCGGGATCTGCCTAAGCATTATAGCAGGAGGAGTGGCAGTCCAGCCCTGCAGAAGCCATGGGCAGAGGCTGCGACCCCAGGGCCTGGGCCAGGCTGCAGGCGCCATGCCCACTCA